TGACTAAATGACCAAGCCATTCGATCTTCTGTTTCCCAATGAATTTGCTATATGGTGTTGTTCCTTATCTTTCTAATTTTGTCTCGGACGGTTAAACTGGTGGCTTTTGTCAGGTATTTTATTTCGCAGGTGTTAATTTAACATAGTTACTCTTTGATAATGTCCAAGTCATTCTGTCAATGTAGGAGGCAAACGGTCACCCTAGTGTTGCCTGCTTGCTAGGGAAGAGGCAGGGGATGTCCTGTATGAGTCTCTACGGCTGGTGCCGCCCCACCATCTAACCAGACGTTCCACATTTACGACTGCATATCCCATTGACGCTCAACACTCAAAGGAAAGGTGAGATGGATGTAGTCACATAGTCTTGGTACTATCAGACAGTTTTGGTGCCATCAGATTGGAACTCTTCCCTTGCCGCTAAAGATGGAAACATAGCGCTTAAGGGAGTGTCTCAAGTGCTGTGACAATTCTTAATTGAACTTTAAAGATGCCGAAAACAACCAAATCTAGAGAAATTAGTATATATAATAAAACAGATACGGTCGAGTCTGGATAAGTAGAAGTCACAGGGACCTAAGAAAATGTTTCCACTTATCAGAACTTCAACTTATGCAGACAGTACAACAATAGAGAAAATTGCCGGGACTAAGCTGGTCATGTCAACTTATCCGAGTTCGACTAAAGTGGACTGTATAAAGTGATCCACATATAATAGAAAGAAGCAGAATTGTAGAAGGAATTGAACCGAACGACAACTGCAGGAAAAAAGTTCTAAAATGCATGCTCAAAAGCACCCCTTAAAAAAGGCTTCATTTTGTCTATCATACAGCTTGAACCAACAACTATGAAATATGGAAAGAATTCATCAGAAACCATTAAGAAAACACCATAGATTAAATAAATTCATATTAACAAAGCATAGGTTGAATAACAACAGCAAAAGAAATTACACACAGAGATTCCTTGGATGTCAGAATACATCTGCATGAGAGGCCAATAGCCAAGTCTGCCCACAAATAAGCTACAGCTGTATAGAACACACGTCCTGGAACAAGACAAACATCCAGAAGTGGACAAACAACAAGGATTTTCCTGCCAGAGTTTACAGCCTGTAAGTAGACCAACTGGCACTCAGTGACGTGGTCAACATTACACCGGCCACCTTTACTTTCCAGGAATTTACCTATTACCTATTTTATATTGAATGATTTACTTTAGTAAAAGACAAATCAAGAAACTGATTACATAGCTATTTTTTTTTATATTTTATTTTTTCATGTCTGAGAAACCGCGGATAAAACTGACAAGCAGTGGGTACTATCACAGTGAAAACATTTCCAATACACATTTATAGTCATAACAGTGCATCTCGTGCTTCCTCTTGTACAGTCGGTGTCCAGGAAAGTAGAGACCATTACCATCCCGCTAATAAAGGCGTGAGTTCAAACACCATGGTGGACAGAAGCGATGCAGATATATCAAATATCAGGGCAGCAGTGCTGTATCATGCAGTTCAATTCAGTGTCGTGTTGGCTTATACAGTGAACACATTTTTGGCCACTTCAGCAACATACGTTGCTGCCATGTATCCAGTGCTAAGTATTTGAATAATTTATGGTGAGGCCCGAACTCTCTTCTGTGGTACAACTCTTGCACATGACTGAAAGCTCCAAGAATGTATGTATTCTAAACACCCACCGTCGGAATCAATCACGGGTAAGCATCACAGGCTGCAATGTGAACACCATTTAACTAACCCATAAACAGCTCATAAGGTATCTATCTATACAGTAAATCTGTAAGCATGTACTTCCCTACACATACAGCTTTTTTAAATTCAAATGTATATACTTTTAAAATACTGGAACAGGACTGCTGTATCCTACAGTTCAATTCACATTTTCATGGCTAGCTTATGGGCTCATCTATACAGTCAGTCTGTAAAAATCATTTCCCTACATGTACCGTATTTTATTCAAATGTATACACTTTTAATATTTTAAGTGTTTATTATGAGTTTACACCTACAACCTAGGCATGTTTTATAACTGGAGCAATTATCAGTCTTCCTCTCCACCCTCCAACCCGACAGAAATGCAAAGTTTAGACCCCAGAAATGAGGCTTCGGAGAAAAAAAACTGCAAACGTTAACAAGACGTGGAATTTGTTTAAAAAATGACATCAGACTCGCAGGTCGCCCCAGCCGAAAGTGCGTACTTGAAAATGTCTGAGGAGGTAAAAGTGGTCGATGTGGCGATGATCTGATCCCATCATTCATCGAGCTACAACGGGTATTTAAAAATATGGATCCAGCATCATATGCCTAATGTGAAGTGGGTTCTTCAAAGGTCACAAACATTAAGGTTTTGACAAACATTAAAATCTTCCAATCGAGGACTGGGAGAAAGAACTGTTCAGACTGATTCATCACACAACTTCGCAATGTATAAGAATGACCACCAAGGTCAGCAGAACAGATGTGCCAGGAATCTATACCGCACTTGCACAATTGGGCAGTCAGGAAAGAAATCTCAAAGACAATATACATATAAATAAGGAGCATACCACAATGACTAATTTTCATGATTAAAACAAAGAACATACTGAAGTTATATTTACCTACCAGCTTGTTAAAGCTAAAATGAAAAAAACTAATTGGAAAAAAATGTGTCTTCAGACCAGACAGGTATTATACAGACAACCAGAATGGATTAAACTTCCTACATCTGACAGGGATTATACTGACAACCAGAAGGGATTAAGATTTTTACATCTGACATGGAGACAACCAAAATGGATTAAGTTTCCTACATCAGTCAGGTATTATACAGACAACCAAAATGGATTAAGTTTCCTACATCAGACAGGGATTATACAGACAACCAAAATGGATTAAGTTTCCTACATCAGACAGGGATTATACAGACAACCAAAATGGATTAAGTTTCCTACATCAGACAGGGATTATACAGACAACCAAAATGGATTAAGTTTCCTACATCAGACAGGGATTATACAGACAACCAAAATGGATTAAGTTTCCTACATCAGACAGGGATTATACAGACAACCAAAATGGATTAAGTTTCCTACATCAGACAGGGATTCTACAAACTACCAAAATATGGATTAAGTTTCCTACATCAGACAGGGATTATACAGACAACCAGAAGGGATTAAGATTTTTACATCTGACAGGGATTATACAGACAACCAAAATGGATTCAATTTCCTACATCAGACAGGGATTATACAGACAACCAAAATGGATTCAATTTCCTACATCAGACAGGGATTATACAGACAACCAATATGGATTAAGTTTCCTACATCAGACAGGGATTATACAGACAACCAAAATAGATTGTTTCCTACATCTCAGGACAGAAAATGGCTTCCATCATCATATCCATTTTAGTTTCTACAGTTATGAAATTGAGTCCAAGAAAGTAATTCACAAATTAGTGATCAAATGACTTCAGTCACAGTTCTAACCTATCGTTAATGGGTCACTCTATAAGTGCTCCATGTCTGTGCTAGAGAAAACTGCACAAAATGCTCACCACTGCCCCAGATGAAAAGTGAAAGGGGCAGTAGATCCATAAGATCAGCAACATGCACACACATTACATGCATAATACAGCTGTCACAGTGCCGGCACCAACTGTCTACCACTAGAAATTCCTATGAGGAAAATAGCAGGTGATAAAACCTGCAATATGCAAATGTAATACTCAAAACAAATGACCACATTACTAAGAAATAAGGATGTATCTACTATTGTTTAAGCAAGGGACTGTCTTTGCTTATCATTTTAAGATGACTATGCTGAAGCATCTATTACATGCCAACTGGATACTGCAGAATCTGATTTTTCGTAACAATCCTAGTATCACAGATAAACACAAAGATCCTGGAATCTACATGTCAACGCTTACAATCACACCGTCACCAAAATCAACAACAAAGAGGGTTATCAATTTGCTTCTCACAGGTAAAGCAAAGATCTCTTCAGCAAACCTAGCAACAAAGAGCAAGACATAACCGTCTTAAGCTGCTGGTAACGGAAGGGAGCGATGAGCAGTGTAGTTTGAGAACCATGCTATACGGGTATTCCACACCAGCCAGGCTCTGGCTGACTCACATAATTCTAGGCATATAAGACAGTCCCAAGCTGTGGCCATAGACACACTCAATGTGACACACAGAAGCAGTCTACAGTACCCAAATGTGAAGTCTTTCCAGAATGGGATGAATATGACAGGAGAGAGGTTTTCATTAGTACACCTTATGCATAAGTACATATACATGTACACACAAGCAAACTGGAAGAAAAGCTATTCACGAACATAAGTAAACATAATGAGGAAACAACATACACACAGGTAACACATGCAGACGAAGATTACAGTTGTGTATCCGAAGTCAGAAAGTGAAATCTGAGGAGATTACAGGCACCATCCGTTTGGATAATTGTGGCAAGAGATGTTTATAATAAATAGTACACTTTGGATGTATAAATACATATATGTACAAGTATACTGGGAGAAAGGCCACAGACACAAACACAATCAGGAAACACTGTACAAACAAAACACATAAAGACACAGGAACCCAACTATTTTTGTTTTTAAACGCAAACATTATTATTATCATCATCATTTTGCTGTCATAGATATTCGTCCAGCAGGTGTCCACTGAGGCAACAGCCACCGATTGAGCACCACCGATGTACAAGAAAGTAGGGTGCGCATCAGGAGCAGGTGAGCTCGAAGCAGCTAAGATGAAAATCAGCAATCAAAGCTTGTGGGGAGGGGGGATGATGCTGACTGATGAGCCTAGCTTCTCTGATGTCCATCGATGATGTCACACTTGAAGCCAGTCAGGTGATTTGTGTCGTCGAGTAAGTTTATCAACAGTCTCTGTTTTTGTGTGTGTTTGTCCAGTTTTGAAGGTCACACTACTTTATACAATGTCAGGTTACATTCCGGCGACCGGTGTCAAAACTTGAAGCCTTCCTGAGGGATCTGGGCATTTGGATCAAACTGGTAACCCTCTTGGGAAGCTTGTGGCAAGAGAGACTCCTCATCAGCCTGCAAGTTTAAACAATGCATCTCTATCAGACCAACTAGACTTCATTCTTTACATTCAATTTATAACATTCTCCACACTAGATATTTAGTCTCCCATCAACACTTTTCCTGCAAACACATATAGATTTTTGCATTTCTGTTCAATTCATTGGATACGGAGCAACTCATCACAAATTTGTTGGTTTCTAATCACACATTTTTCTGAATTCCTAATGCCACATCCAAATGTTAGTTTAATTTCTTCTCTCTGCGTTATTTTACTCATTCTGATTCAAATATTTATAAAGAAATTAAAAACTTTCTGAGATCGAACAATGGAAATAATATCTGTCAGGCGGTAAAAAAGCTCATGTTTTTCATTTATTTTAGAATTTTTCATGCACTCTTTACTGTTTCCTGCCAAGCAGCCATATCAGTCTCACAATTAATACACACTTGGTGTTAGCCTTACTGATAATGTAAGACAATTAAAAATGGACAAGGGAGGTTGCCATGCAGGTATTCTCACTACAGATATAATATACAATATGTGAAAATGTTAAAAAAACACATATAACGTCTGTTTTATGAGATTAAAATAATCTCCTTTCCTGTGAATACTATCAAAATGTTTACCAACTGATATGTTGGAGTAGTCCCACATCTAAGTTTCCAATTCGCGGGCTAGATTTCCCACATGGGTGCCGGGACGCCATTTTGGTAGAAAGAAAAGAATAAACCGACTGACCCCACATCTACCAAGCATGTCGTTTAAAAGTCTACTAATCAGGGATATTTCCTTCAAAGTTGGAGTGCATCTGCCTGAGAGGACAAGAACCAACACAGTTTACAAATAATCCAGATCTGTAAAACTGATGTGCATGCAAAACTCAGGTTTCAGAACAGGACTAACGACCAGAAGTGGACAAACAACCAGAACTTTCTGCTAAGTTTACAGCTAGTGAACACGAAGAAGAAGAAGAGGACTAAATAAACAGATCACATAGTTATGATAGCCAGCCATCTGGCAGCTAAGACACTCAGGTAAGCATGGAAAGAAAATAAATGAACTCACCTCATCATTAAAGTAAGTGTCGATAATTTCATAAGACAGTTTGTAGATTTCTTCATTTTCATGATTCTGCAGCCCTTCAATTTTGTCCAGACCTGGGGGAATAACAATTAGTCTTTCATTTTCATATCATCCCCACAATCAACAATTCAAACAAGATCAGCACCTGAAAGCTGCTTGTATTAATCGTTAAATATATGCATCATAGAAAATAATTCTGATAAAACATTAACTATTTCCTAGTTTTTAAAAAAAAGTAAGCTTGATACTAACTTCTCATAAACATCTGACAAAAGGTACATCTTAATAAACCATAACATTAGGATATTGAGGTCTTAGGGGGGCTAAAATGAAAACAAAGAGAGAAGTCAAATCTACATCTATTTGCTATATAATACTGTTATGTGGCTTAAAGGTTATTGAATTGGTTTCAAACTGCAATCCCTGACATTTACCTGGTTCAGTTCCTGTGGTGGGCCTTTAAGTAAAAAAAGATTGTTCTCAATGTTAAGACATTTGTACGAGGGTTGCACCATGAAAGTGGCCTCAAAACACAATTTGTCCAGTCAGCGGTGGATAAATTGCTGCCAACCTCCACTGTGAAGATGGCACAATTTTGTGGGCCATGTTAACTCTCTTACCCCAGGAAAGTAAATCCATTAAATCTTTAATGATATAACAATTGCAACCATTTAATGAACTATGAAAGAAAATACTTACCACCACACTCCTCAATAATCTGACAAATTTGATCGACATCCTCGCCAGCCATCTTGAGGATGTTGTTAATACCATCGAGGACAACATTCACCACCTGAGCATCCTTGACAGACAAAAGATTACAGAACGGGGGCAGAACTCCCATCTCAACAACGTAAGCCACCTGCTCCTTCTTGCCACTGATGGTCAGGTTGCTGATTGCCCAAGCTGCTTCTTTCTGTGTTTGGAAATCTCCCTGTGAATGAATATTTCTAGGGTCACAGTTCATAATTATATGACAGAAACAGCAATGTGACATTGTAAACCACTGACTGGACAGAAATACCATCCAAACTGGGAAGCAAAAGTCAGACACCAGAATAATACAGGCAAGCAACATCGTACAAGAAACACCAGAATAATGTAATAAATTCAGCAGGCAATATTGTGCAATATCTAGATTAGCCCCTCCCGCGCCGCACGTAGCAGCGCAGGGGGATACACTATAGTGGCACTATAGTGGCCAGAAAAAAGTCATGAGCTACTTCTTCCGTCGTAACTGGCAGCGTGGTCGCTTTTATCACAGTCGAGTGGTGGTCGGGATAGTGAAGCGCCATAGTGGCGGATGCTGGTTTGAAGTTGTTCCGAGGCGACATGCGCGTTCATTAAAACGCACATTACTGATTATGACTCGCCCGGAACAAGAATCGCGGACAAGCCGCGTCCTGTTCCCATATTTTCGGGTGAGTTGGAATGGCGGACAGCCAGAAAGAACAGATATTTGCACACTATTTGCAACTTCTGTGTCGCAATTTTCACATATATAAAGGATTTAACTGTCGGTAAGTAGTAGAATTCGCCCTTTTCCTCATACTTATCAATCCTTATTTTTTCCGAGCTAGAACTTCTAAATGTTTGAAGGGCTGGACGTAATGAGGCTCTGTTAGGGTTTACTTTCTGCGTAGATAATTTGGGACCGTTATTCGGAGCAGAGCCGAAATCTATGAACGTATGATGTGTTCCTTGGGTTTCAAAGAGTTACGGCAATGAAATCAGAAACCGAGCAGCATTGGACCAAAGTGAAAAACAATCACGACCGATTCAAAATTAATTGGTGATAGGAGAAAAACGGAGGAGAAATGGATATTACATCTTGACAGTTATAATTTAGCGTGATAAGAATTAATGGTATAATAATTAACAGTAAACTAGGGAGAATGTGTATGCATATGTCAATGAGAGTACAAAATTATTAAAAGACAGATAGCGCCTACTCCACATGGTGGAAAAGACAAGGAAAATACACTGCAAAAATGTCAACTTTTGTAATGTATAATTTAACAACAACAAAATCAAAAATATAGCGCTCGACCTATATTTTTATAGACCAGTCACCATTCAATGTGTGCTGTGATCAACATCAGACTGGTCACTTTTATTTCCCAGGACATAACCTGGTATCCAATGTAGGCTGGGTCACCCTGGTCTCAAGGTCAGTTTTTGAAAAATATCTGCTCAGGTGCGGATTTTAACACTAGAAGACCTTCAGGCATAATTTTTATCATGAAACTTATTTAAAAAATCATACATATTTTGTCATTTGTGGAGCTTGCATATTGCCTCTCGGCATGTATTTCTATAACTGCAGATAGCCACAGCCACCTTTTCTATCTTCCAAACTATGTCAAGTAACTTACCCTGTTAAGGTGATGAATAATAAGAGGTATAAGGCCAGCATCAATGACAGCTTGTACCTGGGCTTGGTTGCCGGCTGTAATGTTGGACAGAAACCACACCGCCTCCTGTAACAACAGAAAATATAGGTGACTGACCTTTTTACAGATAGGTTATGGTCACAGAGTAATTTCACAACAAATATGTAATTATGTAGGCGTAATGCTGACCACATCACACACAAAGTGCCGATGGTCTATAAAAAATATAGGTCTAGCCCTATATGCCTAAAGGCTTGAAAAAGGGTCCTTTACTTTACTTATGTATGGTGTATTGGAATGGGGGGGGGGGATCACAGCTGAGCAATCTGGGGTAAACATAGTGAAGAATCACTGTAGCATGACCAAACAGGTACTGGAATCATTCCAACTTATCAACACATACCAGCATGACTAACATACAGCAAAATCACTGCAGCATGACCAACATACACCAAAACTATGTCAGTCTATAATAAATGATCCAACACACACAAGAACTATTAGAGTAGGACCAAAATACTAGAATCAATGCAGCATGACTTACATATACTAGAACTAGTTACGAGATGTTTGGCCAACATGGATTAAAAATAAAGTAATGGACCCTTTTCAAGTCAGTGGCACATCTAGCACTTACAGACCAATGGCACTTTATGGTTAGTGTAGTAAACTTCATGCAGAATATTTCTTGGCACCCAATTTATTATGAAAGCCAGTCGATTGGGAAAAAAAATCTGCCCAGTGCAAAAACACAAGCCGCTGTCTCACTGTATCTCACAACAAAAAATTATTTGAATTTTTCTTCTTCTTCTTCGTTTATCCGAAGGAATAAATACATCTGTCCTTTTACATCACAGCTGGTTAGTTTTGTGGGATACTGCAGTCCTACTGTTGTTTGGTCATAATTGTTTTGAGGTATACAGATAATGCCCCCTGAAATGAGTCAAGACGTAGACTTGAATTTACGCTTTCAACTATCTTGAAATGTACCTTGGCTTACACCGACTTTAACGTCTAGGGTTGACAACACAAACGCCGCTCAGCTTCATTGTACATTCTGTCAGTTTATTCTGGTCCACTGCATTTACTCCAAAATTATTACACAAACACAAATGGACACATCTTTTAAGACAATTTGGGCAAGGGATATCCTCATTTACATACCTATCAGACCAATTACCAAAGCACTCAACCTAGACTACTGCAAGACTTGAAGCATTAACCATGCCCGAGTAACCATAAAAAACAAATGTTTAAACACAGTATAACACCTTGCAACACTCCCCTAACCCCCCCCCCCCCCCAAAAAAAATGATGTAAAAACTATTAATTCAAGTTATGCTGAAACTGGATGTATTGGGATGAAAGGCACAGATATCACAGCCTAGCTGTAAATCACAGCACAAAATGCCCATCGTTCTATTAAAGGCTGTCGCCAAACAAAAAAACCAAATGTAACACAGCAGCAGCTGGCCTACCTTATTGATCTTTTCCTTGGGGTGTGTGAGTAAAGCTGGGAAATAGGAGAGGGCATTGCAGTTGAGCACTGCTTGTGTCTGGTCATCTGTGCCAGTGACGATGTTACCCACGGCTCTCAACGCAGCTGTCTGAAAAGATATTTTGCTTTTGTTTTATGAAAAGTACATCAGGAAATCACACACCTTCTTAGAATTCTCCAGCTGTAAACTCCTGCACATCCATTTTACAGATCTGGCTTATTTGCATGCATGCTGCTGGTTCCTTGCCTCTTAGGCAGATGCACTTTGTCTTCAAAGTAAACACCTCTAAAGCCCTAACTTGTCACCTCCTACAACATGCTTGTTAGAAGGGCAGTAGATCTATTCTTTTTTCTCCCAAACGGAACCCACACAGAGAAAAATCACAAATAAAAAGATTTTAAACATGAAAATCTACCTGAAAAACAAAGTTTATATTAAACACGAGTATCCTTACTGCAGCACCAGACCATGTAGCATAGCCCCAACATGAGCATTTCATGGAAGGAAACATACACTATACAAACACCATCAATCAGCAAGTCCTTCACAGAAGATTCTTTTCCTCACAGCACACCTAAAAGTTTCTCTTTCTCTAATCAATTCTCCAGGGAGCCAGCCCCATGTACTTTTATAACCGATGCATTTTCAATGTCCTACATCCACCTGTGCGGGGGGCGGGGTGGCTGTCGCTGTCACATTTTCCAGAAACAAATTTAGGCACAGTTCTCAACAGGCCACCATGACATGGCCAAAATAGCTCAGTTTTCAGGGTAGAATGCTGTTTATGAGCCAGTTCTCCTTGATGCTCAGATCATTTAGGATGTCTGTTTTTCTTTTTCTTCTGTGGCATTTCAGTTCAAAATTTCAAATTTTTTCTTCTTAATGATGAGACGTAATATACATCTTTGTTAACTGAGAAAGTAACTTCTTAGGTACATATGCAGAGCCAATCATGGGCAGCTGATACGTCAGCTGTAAAGGACCTGATAAAAGAATGATGAGACCACCACGATTAGACAAAAAGCATAGTGAAGATTATTCAAGGAAACTAAGAAAATGACCTGGCTGTCCACAACAGAGGACACACAATCTCTGTGGACGTTATAAGAAGCACACACTGGAGTACTCTGTGAGAACAGGAATGTTGGAGGAAGGGACTAAATCTGGCACTATGATCTTGAGAACTACTGTTTTAGAAATTTATTACAACACAACTGTTGGTTAAGTTATCCTCACTGAAGCACAAGTACTCTTATAATGTGAGAAATTATACATCTATCTCCAAATGATAAACTGTACAAACAGATGCGGGCTTCTAAAAAAAAGAAACACAAAACCTGTGAGAAGTTATCATGTTAGGAAACTTGCAAGTTTTTTTTTTTTTTTAATACTGCTAAGTTTAAATTCTATAAAATTATTACTGCTGAAAGTACAAACATCTTAACAAAAGTACTTCAAATTAAACAAGTACCAAGACATTACTGCACAGAATAAATCAAATGATTTAGCTGAAGCCTAAGCATTAAGCTCATTAAACAAATTAGACACAACTGTGCAGGCAGTGTCTTCTTCCCTTCTTCTTGACATTCACCTCAGACAGAAATGTCTGCTTGTTCATACACTTCTGAATCTGAGTTTTGTGTGCATTTTCGTTTAAGATCTGTATTATCTGTACACAGTCTGTTGTTCCTCACCTCTCAGGCTTTGACTGAAGAAAACATTCCTAAATAGCTTACTCTTAGGACGCGCTTGACTGGAAAAGGGGGGGGGGGGGGGAGGCAGTAGATCTATTCTTGTTTACTCCACAATGATGCCATGAAACCCACACAAGGAAACAGGGAGTGTCTATAGATGTGGGTAATGAATAGGACACACACTGAGAAAACTAGTTAACTGAACAATCCATGTGGAATTCACAGAGGGAAATGGTGAAATTAAACACTTAAAACTTGGGGCACACAAGGATGTTCTATAGAAAAGAAACGAAATAAACATTTTCACTTTATCTTACAGCAGAAACTCACCTGTACTTTGACATCCTGATGTGCTAGTAATGGGACGAGGAAAGGGACCACTCCACTGTCGATGACCATCTGAATCTGTTCGTTGCCTCCATCAGTCAGGTAGGATAATGCCCACACAGTGTCCACCAGGATCTGCAAATTTGAAACCATCAGACTGAAATTCAATCCATTCAGGAACATGCTCAAAAAAACAATAGAAAGGGTTCCAGCTGCTTGTATTCCTACATTTGGGGCACTGTCTAGTATTTGTGCCCAAAAAAAAACGTATGCCTGTATATTATTAATACTTGCAAGGGTGTGCTTTTGCTTATTTCAATCCTTTTTCAAGCATTTCATTAGCTTTAAATTTAGTAAACAGGACAGTGTGTGAATGTCATTTTATCAAACATAACTTCTAGCTGTATGTTCAGAGATTAAAAAGTCATTCAGATACTGAATGTTTTCTTTTATGTTTGCAGTTGTCCGCACAAAACTCCATAGCTACAGCGGCGTTCCTCCATTTACCCCAGAGTGTTAACTCTAGTAACCATTACCCAGAGGCTGGGTGAACCCCAGGGAACAGCCAGGTTTTGAAAGCGCCCTCCTATCAACTGCGTTAATTCAGCCCGATTGTTTGTTTTTTCAACGGTCCAACATCATGACACACAGGTGTAACCCATAAGTGCTCCATTCTACTTCTAACTCTAGCCCGGTCTGAAGAATCTCAGTGAACTCCACAGCACCAACAAGGATCCTGAAATATTTTGGATAGATTTTTAACCCCAAATTGTGACCAGGCAGCACCGTTAGGCCACTCGTTTTCGATTTGCAACTGCCAAGGGATTTTTTTCACTTGTGCAAGAATACACACGGGCGTCCGATCTTACAGAGACGTGAGAAAATGTCAGCCTTCACCGGGGCCTCCAGCACTCGAGGCATACACCATACCTCAAGACCACCCAGCCTCAAGACATGAAGGTTAATTTACATGAACATTTTTAAACATGTGAAGGCTAGCTTATATTAACCTTTCTAACAGATGAATGTTAATCTACAATAACCTATTATCAGAAAAGAAAAGTAATTTACATTAACATATTCTAAGTCAGTGCTACTCAATGGCTACCTACGAACTGAATCCAGCCCGTATACGCCTAGAAAGTGGCCCATGAATCACTGCCAGCTGCACTGTATTTATGATCTTTCTACACTGAGGTTTGTTTTCTGGACCATGATGATGCACACTTTGGCCGGCCCATGAGTAAACTGAAGTTAAATAGCCCTGGTCTAAGAGATAAGATTTCTGATCAACTTACATTGACATCTGCATGGTGGATGAGCTGGCACAGAGCTGGTAGTATTTCTTCAATGGTCTCCACAGGCGGGGGTGGGTCTTTGTTTCTGCACAAGTTGACAATCACCCAAGCAACATTTCGCAGGAACGGCAAGGGAATGCTGGGGTTGATAAAGGTCAGCAAGTGCTGTACTGCTCCGAGGTTGATGACATAGTTTCTGCACTGTGGCCCATCCCCTGGTAGACATACAGACAAAGACATCACTGTTATTAACAAGACCAGCTGCTGATACGATGAATATATATATATTTCAAATCAATGCAGTGTCCCTGTTAGTGATCTGCAGAAAAAAAAAAACAAGTGCGATATCACTTACAATACAGTAAACTTTGCAAATCAATGCTTTCTGTGGTTACTATACTTTTCAGTTTCAAGACAATATATTTCATAAATTTTTTTAACCTTAAAAAAAAAAGGGGGGGGGGGGGGGGTGTCGCCTTATATAAGAAATGTGTTTAAAATATTTATTTTTTCAATTTTGGGCTTAAAAGCTAGGGACCATCTTGTATATGGGAAAATATGGTACACTTGAAAATTATAGTTTATTTCCAAATATAACTTAAAAAGTATGCGGTCCATTGGAGACCTTAAAAAATAAGAGGGATATGCAGATCTTAGCTAACCAGGAACCACTGAGTTATTGTGTTCAAGTATGTGGGTACATTCATAATAATAACTGCAGGATGTAATAAAAAGAAGCTTAATGTCGCCTAGCTCAAACAAAAGCAGCATTTCACGGGATGAAGAATATCTGATGCAATACACATTGGTTAACAGATTAGAAAAGGGGTTCTTTAGTGTTTACACACAAACAATCCAAGTGTATGTGTACCATGTCAGTCAGTAGATATGTCAGCTGTAAAGATCTGTTTTGGTAATGAGAGCACTATATAGTCAGGTTTAAAAAAAAACATAATGAAGATGTTATCAAGAGCATTATCTCGGAAACAGAACTGGTTATCTGCACCAGAAGATAATACATAATCCCTGTGCATGCCATATGAAGCAAACTGGAGCACCTCACGAGAAAGGAAAGTTGGCAGAAGATACTAAGATACAACATGTTTGTCTAGCACTGTTGTCTTTAGGAGTGTCTATATCGGAAATTATTGGTAATATGTGAGACACAAAGCAGTAGACAGACATGGTGACAAGTGCTACACAGCACACACCACTCGGTAGGCACACAAAATAAAAGGGTCTGCAACATCATTTAGAAAAAATATCCCTAAGTGGTTTTTTTTTTTGCAAGTTCTCTCTCTCTCTCTCTCTGCTGGATAACATAAATACTGCAATCACAAAAAATTAAAACACTGCATTCAAAGTTAAAGTTCTCTAAATAAAATAACAGAACCTGTATAATACCTCCCAGGCCTCCCCTCCTCCCCACAGAGGACCAACAAATAAAGACGTCTAAACCATAACTCTGCTGTATGTGGTGAACATTCATCTAAAGCTGCCATATATCTACCCAAAACACTTTTTACACACACAAAGCAAGTAAACACATAAACACACTGAGTGAACAAAGAGCACAGATACAAACACTCACCAATAATGTTGCCCAATGCCCACACTGCCTGTTCACAAACATTCTGATGTGGTGACCGCAGCAGCTGTAAAAAGTAGGGAACAGCACCTGTAAACATTAAAGTGGATCTTAGGGGCCAATCATTCCATGAAGCCTGCAACATGATTGTATGCATACATACCATCACTGTCTACCAGTTAACTTCACCGCTATACACTGCACAACAAATCACCTACAAGTCTGCATAATATTACTATCCCTACCAATAACTCAATAATACATCTGCTCCTTGTTCAAAACACTATCACACTATATTACCAACCACTAGTTTCGTCATTATAACATACCGCCCACAGTGCCCATTACAACAATTAGTCTCCTCACTGTAACATACCACCACAGTGCACATTACTGTCACCTGACAATCTACACATCATCATCTCCTCCCACTGGTTTACTTATAACCTCCAGTCACAACATACACAACTGTCACCTGACAATCTACACATCATCATCTCCTCCCACTAGTTTACTTATAACCTCCAGTCACAACATACACAACTGTCACCTGACAATCTACACATCATCATCTCCTCCCACTAGTTTACTTATAACCTCCAGTCACAACATACACCACTGTCACCTGACAATCTACACATCATCATCTCCTCCCACTAGTTTACTTATAACCTCCAGTCACAACATACACCACTGTCACCTGACAATCTACACATCATCATCTCCTCCCACTAGTTTACTTATAACCTCCAGTCACAACATACACCACTGTCTCCTGACAATCTACACATCATCATCTCCTCCCACTAGTTTACTTATAACCTCCAGTCACAACATACACAACTGTCACCTGACAATCTACACATCATCATCTCCTCTCACTAGTTTACTTATAACCTCCAGTCACAACACACACCACTGTCACCTGACAATCTACACATCATCTCCTCCCACTGGTTTACTTATAACCTCCAGTCACAACATACACCACTGTCAAGGACAATCTATACATATCAAACAACATCACAGTGCACACTAACCCTGCCAGTCTATGCAGCATCATTCAGCCTATGCATGACACAAATACCTACCAGCCTGCACAACAGCTTGTGTCTGGGCAGAAGTTCCAGATGCAATATTTGTTAGTGCCCACGCTGCTTCGAACTGCAATGCTGGATTGTCATCTTTGGATAAGCAATTGACTAGAATGGGGAGGATGCCGGATGCTATCAGATCATCTATCGGAGGGTTGCGATCACTGGATAACAATTTTCTGAAACAAAATAAAAACTGCAGTAAGATTCTCTGAAATATATTTTGTTCACTCAAAAGGTGTGAAGATGAGAAGACCAACTTCACTACACCAACTGTTATCCCAGATGGCCTGGACTCTCCACCCAACAAAAGGTTGAACTCCGTAGCTCCTGCAATTATTCCCATGAATTCTGTAAACACTGCAAACTGTTAAAAGACAAATTGGACAATCACAGAAAGATGCTTAAATGCTTATTTAATGTTTGTGTGATAATATATCCAGTGATATACCCAGATCACTAATTTTTTAATATGATATAGATTAAGCAATATTAATATTTTTTAATGAATACAACATCATAGATCTTGGCCCTATTCTTATCTAATATGTACCCCTATTTTTCATATAACAAACAATTTAACAATGGTCATAAATTGTCTATGACAAAATCAAAATGCAGGCAAATATTTACTGTAATCTAGTGCTGTATTTCAACAAACTTTTAATAAAGAGAATACATTTGACAAGTCAATATATTAACAATATGGGGAACAACAGTTTAACATAGATACAGAGGTTTAAAAAAAATCAGATGTTCCAAGTTCAGAAAGAAAAGACCAAGAAATCTATATGTAACTCGCTGACTGCAGCAGTACCAGAAAGTCTGGTGCACAAAGACAAGTTGCCACAGCAAGACAGAAATAGGCTGACACTGTGCAGAAGAACTTTTGAAAATAGGAATACATTTACACATAAAAACAAAGCAGATAAGCATGCAACTGCAAATGGACAGTTGTGGTTGATTCTAAGGAGAACATTTTCAAAATAATCTCTTGAACAACCCTTACCAACAGAAGGAAGAGAACATAAAAATACAACAAAATGCCTGAAAGAAACCGACAAAAGTCCCAGCTGACAAGAAAGCAGTGATTATCATAACAAAAGAACCAATAGGTCTTTTAAAAAAAAATTAAGAAAATATATCTATTAATATAATGAGCATTCTAGGAGCATCATAGACCAGTGCTAACTTTTTTTTTAAAACTGAAGTGAACTTGCAGTAGTGGCAGAAAATAAAACTTAACAGCTGAAACTGACATATAAAGTTAGTTGTGTATCATTTACAGGATGTTGCAGAACTACCGCAGCATGTGTTTGTAATTTTACATTCAGTAGTTTGCCACTGCCTTCTAAACGATCGGCTCCCAATAGCCCTGGTGAAATAAACCCAAGGCAGACTGCTGTCAAAACACAGGCATCTGGAATCGAACCAGGTACCTTGGGGTTATGAAGTGCGTTCACAATGTCTATAACCACAGACAGTAAAAACTAATAATAGAAAGAAAAATCACGACTCATTTACCTGGCAGCCTGCACCGCATTTAACTGGACTTCTGGTTCTGAGCTGCTGGCATTAGCAACGATTGTTTCAAGGGACTGAGTGGATGGTTTCTCATAATCTTCGGAGTCTGTGCTGTCTTGTGTGGGTACGTTTCTCCTTTTCAACAAGTGCTCATCTTTCTTGCTCTAATGTCAAATTCAGATGTAAATTGGAAACTAATAACAGTGGGATTTCAGGTCATGCAGTAGCAAAGTGAAGTAAAGGACCCTTTCCCACACCTTTAGGTGTACTAGGCTAATCAGCACTCGGTGGGTGATGTGGTCAAAATCACGCCGACTGACTTTACTTCCCAGAACTGTACCAAATTATCACTCAAGGCTGGGACTCACGAGCAGCAGCTTCCGCATCTCCTGCAGCTTTGCTCGTGAGTACTAGCCATCTAGTTTAGCCCCAATCCACTCCGCTTATGTGGCGTGGAGGATACTCTCGGCGGTGGCGGTAGCGCGCAATTGACATGTGAGACTGAGGCCCTGTTTCTGGCCACCATCTTTTGTGCCCGTTATTCGGAGGATAGCCCTTGATATTCATGTACCAGGATCAATACATATCAGATAAATCTCAACATTGCGCAGTACATCTTATACTTTCATTATTTTACACCTCTAATGTTTATCTCCTGACGTCTTGCTCACAAATGCGCTGCTAGGTTAGGGGTTGGGAAGGATAACCTTTTACTGAACCGTACCACTTAGTTGATCAATGAAACACACAAGTATTCGACTCATCATACTTTACTACATTACATGATCCGAATGTTCTAGAAGACTGTTTAAAAAGGCGGCTTAGAGGACAGATAACTGGAAAAATACAGCCACTTTACGACAGTGATTATCATACAATTTTAGTCTTAATCTGCTCAGGCACAAGTTAAACGCACATTCACAGCGTATTAGTTGACTGTCCTAGTCACACTCCATGTTTCTGATACACTAACAATATTGATCTGGCACTAGAGTTCAATGCTTGGTTCCATATATTTTAAAATTCATTTATGAAATGTGTTTTTTGGGAGCCAATTTATCTATTTTAATAATTGTCTGCTCAATTTTCTTTGACTACAAAGCTACCTAAATATATACGAATGAACATACATCCTGTGCATTTATCATAATTGAAAACAAAACTACTGGATTACTAGAATATAACAATGGACGTGACTTACCTTTCTCAATTCAACTGTGACTTCTGTCCTCCTCCTACGCATTTCCTGAGGACAATTATAAAAAAGCATATAACACAAAGCAACAGCAATTCAATACAATTTGAGAAAAAAACTCTCAAGTGTATAATAATAGACCAATATATGACTGACATGTCAGATTACTTACTGTGTAGTAACACTTTATAATTCACATAATTATTGTGTTTTGTCCTCACAAATTAACAAGTGATGTTAATTTTGCAATATACTGCTTAAGTTGTGTATCTTATCTGTCAAAAATTACTTGGATAGTAGCAACTTATAGTGTTATTTTGTTGTGTGAGAATGGTTCAATGTCATCATATACATGAACTGCTAAAGCACTTCAAATGAAAGGTGCTAGAACACTCACATTGCAGTCCCAGTCTGGTAGCCAGTGTACTAAGTTAAGCATCTTTAGCCTATAAATTATCACCTAGAAACCAACAACCAAATCCATGGAACATTGAAAATATTTATATCTTGTGAGCTGGAAAACTGCCTTAACAAGTATGCAGAATAACATGCAACAATATTTCGTTATCTCTACTTCTTTAGATATGCATGAATAAATAAATTCATATGGCAAGACATAACAATTCACTGACAAAACGTGTGCATGCTTGCCTTGTTTATGCATGGGATAAAATTTGTTGTTTCTTCTACCTATCGGTGCCATGATTACACAATCAGAGACTTCACAATAAACTCAAATGCATATTTTCTCAGCTTGTTATTTATGCCCTTTCCTTAACTTAACAAAGGCGATATGTCTCTATTAGGGCACTCATCCGAATACCGGTCCCAAATTATTCACTGTGAAAAACATCCATTTGAGAGCCTCAAGAGGTTACGTAGTAAAAACATTCATTTAGGCCATTATCATCAGTTTACACTTCTGCCGTTATCGCTCGATGGATAGCAATGTTTAGACGTTAACTTTAAGCGCTGAGGGGAGGAATAGTTTTTGATCCATTGAAGTGTCGTCGGGAGGAATACCATTTTGATCCTTTGTTTATGCCGGGTGCCGTGGGGAGGATTAGTTTTTGATCAATAATTAAAGCATCGTGGTGAGGAATAGTTATTGATCCATTGTTCACATTACCCGTGACTCGGCTTGTGGGTTTCAGGGCCACATGTTTGAGGAAAAACAAAATAGATTCACTGCCACCTACAAAGCATGTTGTAGGAATACTTACAACAGTACTACAGAAGAGCCGAGAGTTTGGTTCAAATGAAATTATTTAATATCGTGAAGCATAGTTCATGGTGTTTTTATTTCATATTTGTAACTATATGATCTCTTGAGCCCCTGAATTGAATATGGGATTTTAAAATTAAACTGTGAATAATTTGGGATCAGTATTCGGAAGAGTTTGTATTAGCGGCTATCCTCCGAATAACGGTCCCAAACTATCAAGGCAGAAAATATACCCTAAAAGGGCCTCAGTCACACGTGAATAACGGACTTCCGGCAACTACCACCCGAGAGTATCTCCCTAGACTAAACCTATGCCCGGAGCTAAACTAAATGGTTGGGCTGACGAGCAAAAAAAAAATGAAGAAAGCTGCAGGAGATGCGGTAGCTGCTGCTTGTGAGTCCCAGCCATCTAATTTAGCCCCGCTCCATGCCGCACGTAGCGGCGTGGGAGATACTCTCGCCAGTGACGGGAGTGACGGTAGTCGCCGAAAGTCCGCAATTGACATGTGAATAAGGCCCTGTTAGGATATATTTTCGGCCTTGATAATTTGGGACTGTTATTCAGAGGATAGCCGTATTAGCCAGCATTGGACATCATGGCAACTGGGCATGTAGTGCTAGATATATATTTTATAGAATACTTGGCATTCGTGGAGACCGACGTTTAATAGTAGTAGTACTGATTTTAAAATTACATACTGATTGAATACTGATGATCGATGTTATCTTAAATGAGTTAGTTACTTAAGTTACAGATGAAGGAAATGAAATTCAAACTTTTCCAAAAATGGCTAAACTAAACTAAAGACACTTGGGCGACACTTGACATAGAACATTGTTGTAAAAAAAAACGTAAACAGCATTGCTTCAAGGAAAATAAAATAAGTTAAGTCATTTCAGGCATATGTGATGTATCATACACGTTGTGAACGGTTGTGACTGAATCCCTTCTTCGTCGTGGACTATTAAAAAAAAAAAACATGATGCAGATTACTATTGTACTTTCCACTTATGAAGCGCAGGAGTCTCATGTTTGTTGATGCCTCAATTTTGTTTACACACTGCAATTAAAACGTAACCACAGAGATGTGTGAAACAACAGACGTACAGATCAACAAATGTTCCTGTGACAGGGCGGAGGACGTATCAGATTTGCGAGACATGGTGACAAAAAGATGGAAGATGGGTGAGATCTGAAGAAACCAGAAGGCAAGTGGTTTGAATCAGTCAGTTACACTTACGTCTGCGTCCTTTCCCTTATTTTTAAACATAACCGTCCGAGCTTTTCCTGAAGGATCTGTAGCCATGTCTGTTGTTTTATTATTAAAAAATATCCGAAGAAATTGCTTATCTGAAAATTTTCTTCTCTGTCTCTAGCCGTTCTCAAAACTTACAAATGTCGGACGTGATCATGCTGGCCACGCGTTGTAACCCGTCCTGTGATTGGTCCGTTATGCAATCAAACGCCTTTTGCTTAAATAAACATTTTATAGGAAAACATAATAACTATAGGCTAACAAAACATGAAAATGTTAATAACAATTTACTACTCTTAGTTTTATCTATGTTAAATCTTCAGGTTTTTTAAAATGAAATTGTGCTTCTTTAAATTTTAGCAAATGTCAAGCTCTGTAACAAAACGTTTCATTTAGTGCAGAACTAACATATCTGGGTTTACAGAGAAGGTTTTTTCGCATTTGACTCCACCATCATTTTTTGTTCCACATCAAAATAAGCTTAAAAACAAACGAAAATTTAAGACAAAACACATATACAGGCAAAACCGATCTATAAATTTTAACTGAAGTTTTCGTGAAATTAAAATGCTTTGGTGTGTTTCCTGTCTACGTTTCTAATTCTTTGAAATATATTTTAAGCTTTCCAGCCTCTCATGCAGGGGCATTCCGCCTTTGAAGAAACTGATTTTTTTTTTTTAAACGTATCCAGAAACCATGAGTTGTAAACCCTTTGGCTCGGTACTATGGATATCGCAACCCTTCGGCATTGATTCCATTATAGGTACCGTTAATCTGGGAGAAATGTGGCTTTTCTGCCTACCCCCGGGAGTGAACCCGGACCACAAGGAGTTCGTCACCCGGCCGCCGCGAAAGTCAGGTTTAACCAACTTCGCTAGAGAGCCGGGCAACTGATAATTAGTCGCATTGTACGACATGCTTAATCGACATAGTTAGTGATTCCCATGCCTATTTTACACATTATAAACCTACATGCTGGAAAGAAATGAGGCTTAACACAGAATCAGACACATATCAGTTAATGTAATCGATCCCATTAAGTTTAACTAACAAATGCTTGGGCTCAAATTAATGTAACACCATAAGAGGGAAGAAGGTTACATAAAAAACTTAAAACTTCTAGCAGGAGAGTTGCTATAGTATTAAAGAACATTTGTTATAGGATAAAAGATAAGTTGCCATGAAAAAAACGAAAAGCTGGATAAAAGAACAGAAAGGTTGGTATGAGAAAAAAAAAGAGTTGGCATAAAACAAAGATTACGGCAAATCTTCTTCTTCGTCGTCGTCCCCTTGTCCTTTTCTTTTTTTCTCCTCTTTCTCCTCACACCATGATTACCCTTCCCCCGTCTACTTTGCCTTCCACCATTTAATTCATTCGAGTGTTTGCGAGGGAGGTCATTTCCAAAGATCTGCTGTGCTCTTTCCAGTGTTTTATAAATTGATCTTCGTGTCTCTAATAATGTACTTGGCTCCACTGCTTTATATTCCGCATGATCTTTTTTCTCGTTACTACATATATTTGTTCCGTGTGAATCTGTTTGGTAGGTGGGTCCATGTTATTACTGTCGGGATGCCAAACCATTTAACCGTTTCTCTATTGTGTTATAGGCTCAAGAACGACAAAGACTGATGTTCAGCAACTTGACGATTTTGGTGTGTTTGACCGATACCTTGATTTAGACTGATTTTAAAATGACCAAGAGACCACAGGAACATCTTTTAGTTTTAGACGTTAACGCGGAGAAACCTGGCCAGCTATCAGTTAATAAAAGATCTTGTTTAACTGGTCTTTTAGCGCTCTGTTTGACTTCCGGAGGCACCCTGTGGAGACCTATCCAGCTGTTCTAGCTCTGACATTGGGCTAGCCAGCATGGGTATGGGCGACTGCAGGGGAAGGCCGGTTGTCTGACTGATTTCACCGGCTGGTCTCACGGTACGTTTCAATTGGTTACGTGGTGTTAGATTTGATTTCCATTGTATATCCTCGCACTTGAAACGTCATGGAAGTCTAGAGAGAACAATAATGGAGGGGTATATGCCTGGGAAGAGAGGAAGAGGAAGGCCAAGGAGAAGATGGGTGCAGGATGTGGCAGATGATCTCCAGATGGGTGTATCAGACGCAGGACATCTTGCTCATGATAGGAAGGTTTTCCGGAGGGTTGTTATGGCAGCGAGGTTCCGCGAGGGACATGCTACTGAATGAATGAATCCTCGCTGGGAGATAGTTTAATGGCAGGTCGCTATAAGTGATTTGTTGGCATATTGAAGCTTAACGTACATGTTAAATATGTTTCGGTTTTTGCCATTGTTGAGATAATGTCGCTGAGCGTATAGTGTCGTTATCATAGTTCCTTGTTAGCTGGAGATGATTAGCACTTTAGATTCTGCCTCTGGTCTAACACGTTGGTTGTTGTTTGTGTTGTTATTTGTGAACCACGCTGATTTTATGTTAAGTAAAATAAACAGATGTTCAATGTGGTAATCATATTTCCAGTTGTTTTTCATTCAGATTAGGACTTGTAGTTAGTGTGCCTAGTTTATTTGTTGTATGGCTGATCTAGACTGTACATAAAAGATTTCTTGTCTGGGCTACAACATTTCTGTTTATAGTCCCCGCCTAACGAACTATTTTTCTTAATTTTTATCTTCGTACCTAGGGCTTTTCCGTTCTAGTACAAGTGAATTGTGTGATTAGTGTCAATCAAAGTCTTTCACTAATTTCGATCTTCCTTTGCTTTACTATTGTTTCTCAAGTTATTCTATAAAAAGTAGATGATCTCTGTATTGCACTCATCGGCTGAAATATGGGTTCAAGCTTAGCACTGGTTCCATAGTCTCAATCAAAAACAATTCTTGTGCTTTGCTTCGGTAGTCATAGATATCGGCATCTGTGGCTCAGGCGTTGCGACCGGCCTTCGTAATGCTTGGGTGCCGGGTTCGATCTCAGCTGCAGACAATTTGTCTTGCGTTAGTTTCGACAGTAGTATCAAGAGCCGACCGTGCAGACGCAGTGGCAAACTACTGGACGTGCAAATTTGCCTAGATAGACCACAACAGCCAAAAATGCATTTGATTCTGCATTGCCCTGGAGAGGATACAAAACTATCTTAGTCATCGATATCTTTCCATGCACCAGAAGGGTTCACCTGAATCCTAAAAGAGAGAACTCTTTCTTCTTCTTGAAAGAAGAAAGCTGGGTGGTGAAGTGATGCATGACAAAGCAGATGTGGTCAGAGTCCTTTGGGAACAAGAAACGGAGTCATAAGGGAAACTAGATTATTATGGGCTGGAGAGAATGACGCCCTTGTGTGTGACCAGAGGGTTTGGTCGGCACACTACGCTCATAGGAAACGCAAGACGGACATACAACCGGACTACGACTGGCACCATTAGTTTTGGAACTCTGCGCCGGCTGCTGAGGATGGGGACAGAGTGCGTGTGGGAATGCCCCGAGTGCTGTGATGTCAGTTTTTGACTCAACTAAATTCTTCTTCGTTCGTCTGATATTTCTTATTATTGTTTTTTGCTTTTTTTATTATGAAAATCTTTGGCCATATTAAGCATCACGGCAGATTGGAGTGAATAACAGCAGAGGGCATAGTGCCAGGAAAATTCACGACAATCCCGCTCAGTAGATGTGATTGTTTATAGAGATATGGCTCTTTGTTGAGTGGAACAAGATATGCATGGGGAGGGGGGACGTTCATAGTAAAACGACTGGACGTCGCTTGGATGCAACAACGTCTAGCATATGATACTACAAGTTAGCGTCATTTTGATATTTTGTTCCATGTTCTAAAGGTGTGATGAAAAACGACCAAGCAGGCGTACTGGTTGGTTCTATACTACTTAGCGATGAGTTGATGTTTTGAGGGTTCTTTTAGAGCGAGTGAACAGTGGGTAGACACACGTATATTATTATTGCATGAGGAGAATGGTGCTGCGAGCGAAGGGCGAGACGGATATATAGTCAGACTGTTACTGATCACATCAGGATTAGAAATCTGCGCATGCTACTAAAGATATGGACGGAGCGCTTATGAGAATATTCCAGCTGCTGCTATGATTTCGATTCTTTGTTCAATATGTATCGGACAAGAGAGGCACGAAGCTGAGCACCGGATATAGGTGATACCTTGGGTAGGAAATTGCACGAGGCGTAGATCAAGGAGATACCAAGTTTATTTCAGACATGCCATGAGGGGTGCGACGTTCTGCAAAGTACGTGTTACATTATTATTATTATGATTATATGGGCCTAGCTACGTTGTATTATTTTACAGCAGAGCTGCAACATTTACGTCTTTAAACCGACACATCTGACTTCTTCAAAGTATTTGTAGTTCGGGCTAGCCTAGCCTTCCCCCTTGCTGGGGAAAAATATCGTCACGTTCAACAAGTTTCCACGAAGGGGGAGGTTTAGATTATAATTGTGACTAGGTAATGTGCGCCACATAAAATGGCCTAGCACTGCACACCACCAAGAGCACTGAAAAAGACTCCTGTAGTGTTGATAGGAGACCGACCCAATTACTGTACCGACCGGCGACGAAGTCGTCTACAAGCAAACCAGCGGGCAACCCAGTCACACATGTGTGTGTAGCCTTACGGCGTTATTGGCTGTTTTAATAATGCAGGAAATATCCGGTCGCCTCACAGACTTTTCCGGCGAAGAAAAAGCTCGGAATTTCCTGAAGAACGTGTTCATTGACTCACTGCTGCAGAAGACACCGGTCGTTACCCCTTATCGACCCAAACTTTTGGCTTATTTTCTTTAGCTCATCGGTCCCTGAAATTACGGGGTTTAACTCTTTGAGTACCATTTTGATGTAACTCTAATTCACTCTTTTCTAAGAAGTTGTTACTGTAACTAATCAATGTTAGGGAGTTAAAATATTAACATCATGCGACAGGGGAAGTTAAAGTAAGAAACAAGGCCGTGTAGGTGAGTATAACGATTGGTTTGGTCACATGGAGTTCAGATATGTATTTAATTTCAGCTGAAAACTCCTCGTGTCGGCTCCGGGGCTCCATTTTGTATAGCAAAGAAT